CAGATATTGACGAATGTATTAATTATTTTCTAAAAAAAGACCCAATACCTCTATAACAAGCACTGCCCTAAAAAAACTAAACAGATGACTGCAAAGAGACTGAACAGTCCCTGGCTAATACCCAGTATCCTCAAATCCATAAATACAAAGCACCTATATGAAAAACAGTACAGAATGGGCCACATAACCAGAGACCAAACAAAACGTTACTCGTCAATCGTAACCAGCCTAATAAGAAGGGCTAAAAAATTTTATTATGAGAACAGATTATCCAACATACAAGGTGACATAAAAAAGACCTGGAAAACCCTATCAGAAATACTAGGAACAAAAAAGATAACACGAAATAGCGAAATTGAATTAAAACCAGAGGAACCCCAATTCCCACCTACTGAAACAGCAAACAGACTCGATGATTTCTTCTCCACTATAGGAAAAAACCTTGCCAATAAAATCCCAAGCTCAGATACCCCACCCAATGACTACCTCACTGGCAACTACCCAAACACACTGTTCCTAGCTCCGACTAACCCAACTGAAGTCTCCCTTATTATCAATAAACTAAAAAACAAGACAGGAGATTTAAATACCTTACCACCCATTATATACAAAAAAGTGTCACAGGTGCTATCACCAATCATTGCAACACTCTTTAACAAATCCATTGAATCCTCTACCTTTCCTACAGTTCTCAAAATAGCAAGGGTCACCCCGATCCATAAAGGAGGAGACCACACAGACTTGAATAACTATAGGCCAATATCCAACTTAACCCTCTCTCTAAAATCTTTGAAAAATTAATCCATAAGCGTATCTATTCCTACCTCATCTCCCACAACATACTCAACCCCTGTCAATTTGGGTTCAGGCCTAATAAAAATACTAATGATGTTATTATCCACATGCTAGAACATATTTATACAGCAGTAGAGAAAAAAGAAGTCCCACTGGGGATCTTCATTGACTTACGTAAAGCTTTCGATACAGTTGACCACGACTTGCTCCACATAAAATTGTTGCACTATGGTGCAACTACCTAAAGTCATATCTCAGCAACAGAAGCCAATATGTGTACACAAATGGAGCAAACTCTTCCGCACAGCCAATTTCAGTTGGTGTCCCACAGGGAAGTGTCCTAAGCCCTCTTCTCTTTCTCATATACATAAATGACCTACCAAATGCATTGCAACTACTCAAACCCACACTATTTGCAGATGACACTACATACGTCTACTCTCACCCGAGCCTAGTCATGCTAGCCAATACTATAAATACCGAATTACAGAAAATGTCAACCTGGATGAGGACCAACAAACTTACTCTAAACATTGACAAAACTTACTACATTCAGTTTGGTAACAGAGCTGTAGATGTGTCTCTTAACATAATGATAAATGGATCACCTATCACAAAACTCAGAGGGAAAATTCCTAGGAATCCACCTTGATAATAGACTCAAATTTCAAACACATATACAACAAATTTCCCCCAAAAATTCCAAGACCGTAGGCATACTATCGAAGATACGGTACTATGTTCCACAGTCAGCCCTCCTGGCCCTATATCACTCGCTTATTTACCCCTATCTCACCTATGGAATTTGTGCATGGGGCTCAACAACAATAAACCATCTCAGACCACTAATCACCCAACAAAAGGCTGCAGCCAGAATAACAAATTCCCACTACAGACAGCACACTCCACCAATATTCAAAACTCTAAACCTACTCACAATACAAAACATCCATGCTTATTATTGCACCTACTACATACATAGAACACTTAACTCTGACATAAACCCTCCCCGCAAACATCTCCTTACCAACCTCAACAGAACACATGACCATAACACAAGACACAGATCACTCTTTGATGTTCCTCGTGTCCATCGCACGCTATGCAAAAACTCAATGCACATAAAAGGCCCTAAAATCTGGAATTCATTACCTGTGAATATAAAAGAAACACTGTCTGTTTATAAATTCAAGTCTCTTCTCAAAAATCACTTACTCACCCACAACTAAATAAATACTGAATAATTGTATCTCATAAATGTCAACCTGTGACCCAATCAAACTTTGTTACTATTTAACTTCATTACCTAACAGAATACTCCATTCTACTGATTACACAGCAACACAGTAAATGACCATATGACCTGTCTTTGTAATACTCATTTGTACTAAATTGTTATCTGTTTTACAATAATTTTGTACCACTGAATATATCATTGCTTAGTTAATCTTAAGTTAATTTTAAGCCTGCCCATAATGCTCTGCAAACAAGGGGCTTTGGCATGCTGCACTTTAAAAATTGTATTCCTTGTACTTCTCTGTATCATGTTCAAATTAAATAAATAAATAAATAAATAAATAAATACTGATTGTACAGCAATGCAAGCAACCATACGACCTGTTTTTGTAATACTCATTTGTGCTTAATTGTTATCTGTTTACAATAATGTTTTACCACTGAATACTTCATTGCTTAGTTAATCTTAAGTTAATTTTAAGCCTGCCAGTAATGCTATGCATTCAAGTGGCTTTGGCATGCTGCATTTAACTGTATTCTTTTGTACTTCTCTGTATCATGTTCAAATTAATAAATAAATAAATAACAAATTCCCACTCCCGCCAGCATACTCCACCAGTTTTCAAAAGTCTGAATCTGTTTACCATTAAGAACATCCATACTTATTCATGTGCCTACTACATACACAGAACAATACATGCAAATATAAACCCTCCACTCAAACTTTTCCTCACCAACCTAAACAGGACACATGACCACAACACAAGACACAGATCTCTTTTTGATATACCTCGTGTCCATATCACACTGTGTAAAAACTCTATGCACATAAAGGGCCCCAAAATATGGAATTCATTACCAGAAGATGTTAAAGTAACCCAGTCTGAAAATCAATTTAAGACTTCTCAAAAGCCACTTAATTACCCTAGACTAAATGCTAAATACTCAGTATACATTTACTCACCTATGTACTCCCACATCATAACTGAAACAATCACATTGAACCTTTTATCCATTGTTGACAGGAATATAATTGAATCATTGTTTTTCACAAAAGCATTTTAGAATATAAATACGTATATTTTTGTATTATACAAATTTTGATTAATTTATAATTAATATTCTACTGTACAACTATGAAATAATTAATTTCCTACTGTACAACTATGATATACTATTTCTTAGTATTAAGTAGAATGTAAGCCAATAATGTTAAGTTGGCCCTTAATGCCTAGGCATAATAGAGGGTCTCTTTGCATTGCAACCCACTATTGTATATACACAATCTCAGTGTACTGTTTGCAAAGACATTAAATAAATAAATAAATAAAGTTTTCTTCATCTCTACATTTTCTAATGTTCTTAAATTAATTTTTTCTCTTACTGTAATTTTGATGTTGCTTAACTTCCAATCTTCATGTGAATGCTCTTTTGAGAGCAGTTGTTGTTTCTTACAATATTCTTCATTCCCAGGAATGTGACAGTTGCATCACTAACATTTTTTGGGGGGGTTACCCTAGGTAATTTACACTATACAGTGGTACCTCGGGATACGAACAGCTCGAAACTCGAGCAGTTATGTAAGTGTATCTATGTAAGTGCTTTTGTAAGTGTATTTTTAGGGGTCTGAAACGGATTAATCTAATTTACATTATTCCTCATGGGAACAAATTCGTTCGGTATCGGCACTTGAACAGCCTTCTGGAACGAAATAAATTTGTATCTCAAGGTGCCACTGTATATGACAGTTGTACTTATGCGCATCCATACTTAAATAAACTTATTTACACTATTAACACTCAAGAACAAAATGGCACAGTACTGTGACTGGAGCAGTACACAAATAACCCGCCCATAGAGAGATTTTGTACATGGTCAAAGTTGGATCGAAATGTCATCATAAGCTTCTCTCTCCTGTGTGTGGGTTATTTTTGTACTATTAAATTTAATTTGGAGAGTAATTTTAGGCAACATTTTGGTATACCCTGGGCAGTTACAAACCCCAGACTGATTTGATCATGGCCCAGGATGGACTGAAACAGTGTACAGTGGTACCTCGAGTTACGAACTTAATTTGTTCCAGAAGGCTGTTCGAGTGCCGATACTGAATGAATTTGTTCTCATAAGGAATAATGTAAATTAGATTAGTCTGTTTCAGACCCCCAAAAATACACTTACAAAAGCACTTACAAAAATACACATACATAATTGATCGCATTAGCAGCTGTTTGAAACTCGAGGTACCACTCTACAAAGTTTCCTCTCCAAACTGTGTTTTAGTAGTGAATTGTTTCAACTACAGTATAGTGAATTATTCTGCATCACTTACTGATAGCTAAACCAGCACTGAGGTTTCTATGAAACTTATTTTTAAGATTTAAAGTGTCACTTTAAATCTTAAACTTATGTGAAATATCTGGAAAAAGATCCTACATATGACTACCCTTCAAACATTGTGAGTCGCCAGACACACAAACCTTCAAATACAAATAGAATGTGAGCGATGGTGAATTAGTTGTTTCTTTAGGTCACTTTAAATTGGTGAAAAAAAAGCTGTGCTAAAAATTGCCTTTTAAAATGTTTCTGATATCATATCCTTTGACTGATTCAGAATGATGATAGAGGTTTGATGCATTTTTTCAACTAATGTAATTTTTGTTTTTTAACTGCTGGTCGTCTCCCACTGAGGCAGGGTGACCCAAAAAAGAAACACTTTCACCATCATTCACACTATCACTGTCTTGCCAGAGGCATGCAGATATGAGAGTTCAGGTGACACTCTGAACAGCAAATATCCCAAGCAATTCACAGCTAACAAGCAAATTAGAGGTGAAATTAGGCAGTTATGTTGCACCATTATCATGGTACAACACTAATTGTTCAGAATAAACCAAGACATCTAATTTGTCACCATATTGTGGGTTAATTGTGAATTAACACTATCATTAACATTAGGAAACCTTTTTCAGGCTTGAATGGTGGAACTACAGCAACAGTGTGTTTATTACGAGGAGGAGTAGAGCTTGCTATTGGCCATGTTGGAGACTCTCGAGCAATATTATACCGCTCAGGGGCACCAAGGGAACTCACACGTGATCACTGTCCATCACTTATCTCCGAGAAGGTATCCTGCAAACACATCACTGGTATTGTTAATTTAGTAGTCATTTTATATAAATTAATACCAAGGTTGGTGGAGGAATTTAGGAGGGTATGTAAAAGAAGGATGTTAAAAGTTAAAATAGAAAAGGCAAAATAATGAGAGTAGCAAAAAAATATAGGCAGTGAAAAACTGGATATTAGATTAAAAGGAAAGGAGGGAGGGAGAATTTTTTTTTTTTTTTTTTTTAACAAGTCGGCCATTACTCACCGAGGCAGTGTGACCCAAAAAGAAAGAAAATCCCCAAAAAGAAAATACTTTCATCATCATTCAACACTTTCACCTCACTCATACATAATCACTGTTTTTGCAGAGGTGCTCAGAATACAACAGTTTAGAAGCATATACGTATAAAGATACACAACATATTCCTCCAAACTGCCAGTATGCCAAACCCCTCCTTTAAAGTGCAGGCATTGTACTTCCCATTTCCAGGACTCATGTCCGGCTATGTAAAAATAACCGGTTTCCCTGAATTTATTTTATTATTATTTTATTATCACACTGGCCGCTTCCCACCAAGGCAGGGTGGCCCGAAAAAGAAAAACTTTCACCATCATTCACTCCATCACTGTCTTGCCAGAAGGGTGCTTTACACTACAGTTTTTAAACTGCAACATTAACACCCCTCCTTCAGAGTGCAGGCACTGTACTTCCCATCTCCAGGACTCAAGTCCGGCCTGCCGGTTTCCCTGAACCCCTTCATAAATGTTACTTTGCTCACACTCCAACAGCACGTCAAGTATTAAAAACCATTTGTCTCCATTCACTCCTATCAAACACGCTCACGCATGCCTGCTGGAAGACCAAGCCCCTCGCACACAAAACCTCCTTTACCCCCTCCCTCCAACCTTTCCTAGGCCGACCCCTACCATGCCTTCCTTCCACTACAGACTGATACACTCTTGAAGTCATTTTGTTTCACCCCATTCTCTCTACATGTCCGAACCACTTCAACAACCCTTCCTCAGCCCTCTGGACAACAGTTTTGGTAATCCCACACCTCCTCCTAACTTCCAAACTATGAATTCTCTTCATTATATTCACACCACACATTGCCCTCAGACATGACATCTCCACTGCCTCCAGCCTTCTCCTCGCTGCAACATTCATCACCCATGCTTCAAACCTATATAAGAGCGTTGGTAAAACTATACTCTCATACATTCCCCTCTTTGCCTCCAAGGACAAAGTTCTTTGTCTCCACAGACTCCTAAGTGCACCACTCACCCTTTTCCCGTCATCAATTCTATGATTCACCTCATCTTTCATAGACCCATCCGCTGACACGTCCACTCCCAAATATCTGAATACATTCACCTCCTCCATACCCTCTCCCTCCAATCTGATATCCAATCTTTCATCACCTAATCTTTTTGTTATCCTCATAACCTTACTCTTTCCTGTATTCACTTTTAATTTTCTTCTTTTGCATACCCTACCAAATTCATCCACCAATCTCAGCAACTTCTCTTCAGAATCTCCAAAGAGCACAGTGTCATCAGCAAAGAGCAACTGTGACAACTCCCACTTTATGTGTGATTCTTATCTTTTAACTCCACGCCTCTTGCCAAGACCCTCGCATTTACTTCTCTTACAACCCCATCTATAAATATATTAAACAACCACGGTGACATCACACATCCTTGTCTAAGGCCTACTCTTACTGGGAAATAATTTCCCTCTTTCCTACATACTCTAACTTGAGCCTCACTATCCTCGTAAAAACTCTTCACTGCTTTCAGTAACATACCTCCTTCACCATACACCTGCAACATCTGCCACATTGCCCCCCTATCCACCCTGTCATACGCCTTTTCCAAATCCATAAATGCCACAAAGACCTCTTTAGCCTTACCTAAATACTGTTCACTTATGTGTTTCACTGTAAACACCTGGTTCACACACCCCCTTCCTTTCCTAAAGCCTCCTTGTTCATCTGCTATCCTATTCTCCGTCTTACTCTTAATTCTTTCAATAATAACTCTACCATACACTTTACCAGGTATACTCAACAGACTTATCCCCCTATAATTTTTGCACTCTCTTTTGTCCCCTTTGCCTTTATACAAAGGAACTAAGCATGCTCTCTGCCAATCCCTAGGTACCTTACCCTCTTCCATACATTTATTAAATAATTGCACCAAAAACTCCAAAACTATATTCCCACCTGCTTTTAACATTTCTATCTTTATCCCATCAATCCCGGCTGCCTTACCCCCTTTCATTTTACCTACTGCCTCACGAACTTCCCCCACACTCACAACTGGCTCTTCCTCACTCCTACAAGATGTTATTCCTCCTTGCCCTATACACAAAATCACAGCTTCCCTATCTTCATCAACATTTAACAATTCCTCAAAATATTCCCTCCATCTTCCCAATACCTCTAACTCTCCATTTAATAACCCCTCCTCTCCTATTTTTAATTGACAAATCCATTTGTTCTCTAGGCTTTCCTTAACTTGTTAATCTCACTTCAAAACTTTTTCTTATTTTCAACAAAATTTGTTGATAACATCTCACCCACTCTCTCATTTGCTCTCTTTTTACATTGCTTCACCTCTCTCTTTTTCTCCATATACTCTTCCCTCCTTGCATCACTTCTACTTTGTAAAAACTTCTCATATGCTAACTTTTTCTCCCTTACTACTCTCTTTACATCTCCTGCACCCACCTTCCTGTAACCACAAACTTCTGCTGAACACTCCAACACTACATTTTTAAACCTACCCCATACCTCTTCAACCCCATTGCCTATGCTCTCATTAGCCCATCTATCCTCCAATAGCTGTTTATATCTTACCCTAACTGCCTCCTCTTTTAGTTTATAAACCTTCACCTCTCTCTTCCCTGATGCTTCTATTCTCCTTGTATCCCATCTACATTTTACTCTCAGTGTAGCTACAACTAAAAAGTGATCTGATATATCTGTGGCCCCTCTATAAACATGTACATCCTGAAGTCTACTCAACAGTCTTTTATCTACCAATACATAATCCAACAAACTACTGTCATTTTGCCCTACATCATATCTTGTATACTTATTTATCCTCTTTTTCTTAAAATATGTATTACCTATAACTAAACCCCTTTCTATACTAAGTTCAGTCAAAGGGCTCCCATTATCATTTACACCTGGCACCCCAAACTTACCTACCACACCCTCTCTAAAAGTTTCTCGTACTTTAGCATTCAGGTCCCCTACCACAATTACTCTCTCACTTGGTTCAAAGGCTCCTGAATCCCTTCACTAAATATTACCCTGCTCACACTCCAACAGCTCGTCAGGTCCCAAATACCATTCGTCTTCATTCACTCCTATCTAACACACTCATGCACGCTTGCTGAAATCCGAGCCCCTCTCCCACAAAACCACCTTTACCCCCTCCCTCCAACCTTTTCAAGGACGACCCCTACCTCGCCTTCCTTCCCCTACAGATTTATACGCTCTCCATGTCATTCTACTCTGATCCATTCTCTCTAAATGACCAAACCACCTCAACAACCCCTCTTCAGCCCGCTGACTAATACTTTTATTAGCTTCTCACCTTCTAATTTCCAAACTCCGAATTTTCTGCATAATATTTACACCACACATTGCCCTTAGACAGGACATCTCCACTGCCTCCAACTGTTTCATCGCTGCAGCATTTACAACCCAAGCTTCACACCCATGTGTGGTGTAAATTTTTTGTATAATATTTACACCACACATTGCCCTTAGACAGGACTTCTCCACTGCCCCCAGCCATCTCTTCACTGCAGCATTTACAACCCAAGCTTCACACCCATGTAAGAGTGTTGGTACTACTATACTTTCATATATTCCCTTCTTTGCCTCCATAGATAATACTTTTTGTCTCCACATATACCTCAATGCACCACTCACCTTTTTTCCTTCATCAATTCTATGGTTAACCTCATCCTTCATAAATCCATCCGTTGACACGTCAACTCCCAAATATCTGAAAACATTCACTTCTTCCATACTCCTCCTCCCCAATTTGATATCCAATTTTTCTTTATCTGAATCATTTGATACCCTCATCACCTTACTCTTTTCTATGTTCACTTTCAATTTTCTACCCTTACACACTCTCCCAAACTCTTCCACTAACCTTTGCAACTTTTCTTTAGAATCTCCCATAAGCACAGTATCATCAGCAAAAAGTAACTGTGTCAGTTCCCATTTTGTATTTGATTCCCCATAATTTAATCCCACCCCTCTCCCCAACACCCTGGCATTGACTTCTTTTACAACCCCATCTATAAATATATTAAAAAACTATGGTGACATTACACATCCTGTCTAAGACCTACTTTTACTGGGAAGTAGTCTCCCTCTCTTCTACACACCCTAACCTGAGCCTCACTATCCTCATAAAAACTCTTTACAGCATTTAGTAACTTACCACCTATTCGATATATTTGCAACATCTGCCACATTGCTCCCCTATCCACTCTGTCATATGCATTTTCTAAATCCATAAATGCAATGAAAACTTCCCTTCCTTTATCAGAATACTGTTCACATATATGCTTCAATGTAAACACTTGAACTACACATCCCCTACCCACTCTGAAACCTTCTTGCTCATCCTCAATCCTACATTCTGTCTTACCTCTAATTCTTTCAATAATAACCCTACCATACACTTTTCCTGGTATACTTAGTAAACTTATTCCTCTATAATTTTTACAATCTCTTTTGTTCCTCTTCCCTTTGTGTAAAGGAATTATACATGCTCTCTGCCAATCCCTAGGTACCAACCATTCCAATATTATATTCCCCCTGCTTTTAACATTTCTGTCATGATTCCATCAGTTCCAGCTGCTTTACTTCCGTTCATTCTACGTAATGCCTCACGCACCTCCTCCACACTCACATCCTGCTCTTCTTCACTCCTAAAAGATGGTATTCTTCCCTGGTCAGTGCATGAAATTTTCGCCTCCCTTTCTTCGTCAACATTTAAAAGTTCCTCAAAATGTTCCCACCATCTACCCAATACCTCCATCTCCCCATCTACTAACTCCCCTACTCTGTTTGTAACTGAGAAATCCATTCGTTCCCTAGGCTTTCTTAACTTGTTTATCACACTCCAAAATTTTTTCTTATTTTCATCAAAATTTCTTGACAGTGCCTTTCCCACTCTATCTGCTCTCCTTTTACACTCTCTCACCACTCTCTTCACCTTTCTTTTACTCTCCATATACTCTGTTCTTCTTATAACACTTCTGCTTTGTAAAAACCTCTCATAAGCTACATTTTTCTCTTTTAACACACCCTTTACTTCTTCATTACACCAATCACTCCTCTTTCCTCCTGCACCCACCCTCCTATAGTCACAAACTTCTGCCCCACATTCTAATACTGCATTTTTAAAACTATTCCAACCCTCTTCAACCCCCCCACTACTCATACTTGCACTATCCCACCTTTCTGCCAATAGTTGCTTATATCTCACCTGAACTTCTTCCTCCCTTAGTTTATACACTTTCACCTCTCTTTTACTTGTTATTGCCATTTTCCTCTTGTCCCATCTACCTCTTACTTTAACTGTAAATGTATTTAGATATTTGGGGGTGGACATGTCAGCAGATTGGTCTGTTTGAAATAGATGAGGGGGGAAAAAGGTGGGTGGTATGCTGAGGCAGCTGTGGAAAAAAAAAAAGTTTATCTGAACAGACAAAAAGAGAAATGTGTAGAGTATAGTGGTACCAACACTTCTACATGGGTGTGAGGCATGGGCTTTAAAAATATCAGCAAGGAGAAGGTCGGAAGCATTGGGGATTTCATGTTTGAGAGCAAGATGTGCTGTGAATATTATACATAGAATTCAGAGTATAGAAATTAGAAGATGGAGCAGTTACTAAACATATAATTCAGAGGGCTAAAGAGGTGTTGTTAAGTGGTTTTGATATTTAGAGAGGATGGAGCAGAATAGTATGATAAAGAGGGTGTTTAGATCTGGGTGGAAGTCAAGAGAGGTAGAGGACATACCATGAACTGTTAGGGGGAGGGGAAAAAGGAAGTTTTCAATTCTAAAATTTGAGCATCCAGCAGGCTTGGGTGATCATGTAAGATTCGGATAAATGAAGAAGAGTGATTATGGCTTGACATGCTGTTGGGAGTGTGAGCAAGGTAGCATTTATTAAGGTATTCAAGGAAACCAGTTAGCTGCACTTGTTCTGGAGATAGGTAGTAGTGTCTGCACTGTGAAGGTGGATTCTGAATGTTGCTTCTTTGCAGGGTCATTTGAACTGTGACATGCAATTTCTAACAAGACCTCTATTGGATGAAGGATAGTGAATGTATTTTTATTTTTTGCCATCCCACCTCGATGGGAGATTGCCAATGTCTTAGAAATTGCATGTTGTGTTATAAAAGGATTTTAATTCTCTCATAATACAAATAAGCAAAAATGTATTATTTGAAATCTAAAACAAAGAGTAATTTTTATTAAGAACCTCTTAAGTATGAAGTTTGACACAAGTAACCCTTAAACTGTCCAAACGTAGATCTATGTTCATTCGCCCAGTGCTCCAAATATTTTTTTTTTTTTTTTTTTTTTTTTTTTTTTTTTTTTTTTTTTTTTTTTTTAATTAAAGAGGGCAATTTTCTGTGTGTTATAAGACCAAAAAAAAAAAATTAGGACTAGTACTTACTGAGATATAAGACTGAAATTGGCACTGGATGCTCGCCTTACTGCAACATCGAGTCCTGCCGCTTGCAGAAGTGTCGCTGATATACCTTTTTTCTCTTTTTTATTTTAATTTATATAATTTTTATGTTCTGATAATTACAATTTATAATAGTTCTTGTGATTTCATAGCCAAATTTTGTTCTGACACTAATACAGTGGACCCCCGGTTAACGATATTTTTTCACTCCAGAAGTATGTTCAGGTGCCAGTACCGACCGAATTTGTTCCCATAAGAAATATTGTGAAGTAGATTAGTCCATTTCAGACCCCCAAACATACACGTACAAACGCACTTACATAAATACACTTACATAATTGGTCACATTCGGAGGTAATCGTTATGCGGGGGTCCACTGTATTAGGTACTGAAATAGTACTCAGATAGTCACAATTAGGAATAATATTAGGAGAGCAGCTCATGCTTATTATGTCTTATATCTACAAGCACTGTATAGCACTTTGCCTGGAATTTTTGGGTTATCCTAGGTAAGTTACACTTTGTATAATAACTGTACTTATGTGAGAGAGAGACAGAGATATAGACAGATAGACAGAGAGACAGCCAAAGCCAGCCAGCTGGCCAGCCTGCCGAATACATATTACACATGTTCCAGAATCGTTTATCTTTATTTAGGGCATAGGTTATAGGATATTCTGGCAGGATGACACTACCAGTGGTATCAAAAATGAAAGGATGTTGCACAAATGTTACACATGGGTTATTATCAACATTTTCTATATTTCCTCGACCACTTGTGGCCACATCCATCACTTTCCACTTAAAAGGGGAGTGTTAATATGACGTGACATCAGTGAATCCCTGGTGTTTGCCACACTATTTGCTCTAGCTGACGCTCAATTGAGCTGGTGCTCCCACAAGGTACTAAGTGGTCCCAGATTTTTTTTAATACTGCACACACCAAGTGCTAAGACCCATTCTATACTGACCACGCATCTCAGGCCAGTCATGCCAAATTTGGAGGCAGGAAAAATAAAACGTAGATCTACGTTTGGAGTGCTAGTGGTACAAACATAGATCTATGTTTGGAGCACTAGTGATACAAACATAGATCTACGTTTGGACAGTTTAACCCTTTGACTGTTTTGGTCGTATATATACGTCTTACGAGCCAGTGTTTCAGACGTATGTATACTCAATAATTCTAGCGGCTTCAAATCAAGCGGAAGAAAGCTGGTAGGCCCACATATGAGAGAATGGGTCTGTATGGTCAGTGTGCACCACATAAAAAAAATCCTGCAGCACACAGTGCGTAATGAGAAAAAAAACTGATTGTTTTTTTGGATTAAAACGCCGACTTTGAGGTGTATTTTCGTATAGTATTTATCGATGTATTTGCGTTTTCATGGTCTTAGGTGATAAAATGGAAAACATATTACAGAAATAGAGATGATTTTCATTACTTTGACGATGAAAACGTCCTTGAAACTGAGCTCAAAGTAGCGGAAATGTTCGATTTTTACCAATGTTCAGGAGTAAACAAATCACACCACACATCCAATACACATCAACTGGGGAGTCTAATATTCTTTCACTAGTGCACTGATATTATTTATACCATTTTTACAATAATGCAGTAGTCTGCATAACAGTAAATTTTGTATTTTTTTGTATGAATAAAAAATCAAAATAGAAAGCAATAATAATATAAGAGGGGCCTAGAGATGTGACTAATGAACAGAGGATATGTTATTTTAGTGCCAAGAATGTCTACCTTGTTTATTCTGGACCCTATTTTGAAATTGGCATCTTTTTTAGTTTGCGTGAAATTGGCCAAATTGCCAATTTCTGACCACAATATTGGGTAGTCCAAATTGGTAAATGGGAGGTTTCTTGTACTCAGCTGATAGATAAAATGGAGTTCTAAAGAAATAGCTATGAGTTTGGTCAACTGGAACAATGGAATTGGCTGAAAATAGGGCTCAAAGTCGGCGAAATCGCCGATACGCATATGTCGCCGAGACCGATAACTTCGCGGGAGCGTAATTCCATGAGTTTTCGACCAAATTTCGAACTTTTGGTGTCATTACCATCAGGAAAAGATTCTCTATCATTTCATAAGATTTTTTTTTTTTTTTTTTTTTTCAAAAATTTAGCGACATAGAATGACAGTTTCAGAAAGGGGCCTGAAACAGTCAAAGGGTTAAGGGTCAAAGCAGTTTTGAACATATGCTGAACTTACTGTAAAAGAAAGTAGCTTGGATTTAATTATATTGATTTCCTATGGTATATAGTGTATAGTATTCCTGCGGGGGGGGGGGGGGCAGCAACGTGATAGTGGCTTACTACATATGGAAGGGTAGTGTAGACTTTGACTCTCTGGTAGGCCATGACAGCAGTGACCACTGGTCTGGTGGGTGCCAGTACAGTCATTCATAATTCTGATATCAGTAGTATTTGTAATCTTGCCAGACTCTATGGGGTAACTGTATCCTATTTACAGGATCGCATTATCCAGTCAGGAGGAAAAGTGAGTGTAGACAACATTGGACGCCACATGGTAAATGACAGTCTTAGTATGACTCGCAGCATCGGTGATCTCCACCTCAAGCAGTATGGAGTGATAGCTTTACCCGATACAACAACTTTACGGGTAACAACAGTGTGTTGAGTACTGCATGTAGCTCCTAATTTTAATATAGTATACAGTATTTAATATTAGTGGTTTTCCTCATTATAATAAATTTTCAAGTAAATATTTTTAAAATGTGAATCGGTAATTAATTTAACCTTTCATTTCAAAATTACTCCATCATCCCTACCTTCATTAAAAAGCCTTAATTTTTTTCCATAATCCTTCACCTCTATATTTGAGAGTTAGTTGCTTCTTTCCTTATTGTATTTTCTTAGACCAATTCTTTGCAGCCTTCTTGCTTGGAGGCCTCATATTTTCATTTTTTGTTTTCCCAACATCAGTAATAATTAATAATAATAATAATAACTGGGGATTTTATAATTCTTGAGCGGATGGTGAGTGAGTCGTAAAACTCCGAGCCAGCACATAAGCCACTGGGCCAACTGGCTACAATAAGATTCACCTTTTATTTCAAAAAATTCACAGGCACTTGCACATCAAACCATAAATACCAATCTTTCTTCTTTCAACACACCGACCGTATCCCACCAAGGCGGGGTGACCCAAATGGAAAAATGAAAGTTTCTCCTTTTACATTTAATAATATATGCAGGGTAAGGGTTTACTAGCCCCTTGTTCTCGTCATTTTAGTCGCCTCTTACAACACGCATGGCTTATGGAGGAAGAATTCTGTTCCACTTCCCCATAGACTTCTCCATGGAGATAGGAAATAAACAAGAACAAAAACTAGAAAGAAAATAGAAAACCCAGAGGGGTGCATATATACGTACAGAGGACCCTCGGTTATCAGCTGTTCCAGATATTGGCCAATTCGGTTTTCGCCTGCTTTTTTTGGCCAAAATTCTTTCCTGGTCATTGGCCGTTATTTCAGAGAGTGGCCATATTGGACGCGTCCATCCGCCACTCCGCCGCATTTGTGAGTCAGTCTGGCTGTGTCTCTGGGTGAGTGAGGAAGATTCTGCACATTCATCCAAACATTTTACTATAATCCATTGTTTTTTGTGGTTATTGGTTGAGTGCAACTGCAAAATAAGCCACCATGGACCCAAAGAAAGTTCCTAGTGCTAGCCATTTGGTAAGGAAAGTGAGAAACACAATAGAATTCAAGAAAGAACTCCTAGCAAAGTACGAAAGTGAAGGAGGAAGAGAGGGGAAAATGTGCCTTCTTCATTGATTCTACGATATGTACGATAGTAAAGCAGCAGGAGTCAGTAAAGGCTATAGCGCCAGCCAGCGATAAAGTGTAGCATTAACAGTGTACCAAGTAAGTTAAGCGATTAAGCGATAGAAAAAGGACGACATGAAACTGACTCCTCCAATGTTGTTGGAGGTATATTGGGCCACTGACAATATACGCCGCCCTGTGTATCTTCCACCGCCCTAAACCAATGCCAGCATCTCCTCCAAAGTAAGTGTAAATATTTCTTATTTATAAAGTGTAAATATTTCTTATTTATAAATTAAAGTGTAAATATTTCTTATTTATAAATTATGTGCATTGTTTCAGTGTGAATAGTGGTGGTGGCCTCCTGCTGCCTCCACCACCACCACTGTATGTACGGCTTATGCTGTCAGTGGCCCTTATAAGCCCAACAACAACACCACCACCACTACGTAATGACATATTTTATTCATTCTAGAGTATATATCATGTTTCTATTTATTAATATTGTTTATTATGTCATATTAGATGAATTGTGGTAGATAAATAAGCTGTAGAGTTGATAATAGCGTCACATTTAAGCATTTTGTCCTGCCTCCAAACAATAAACTCTCCTCCCTCTCCATTCCTCGCCGTTTTGCATACACCACCAAGACTCTCCAATAAAGGTAAAAGTGATTTAAATGTTCATTTATCCATTTCATTAGTCATTTTATTTAGTTCTCATTGTTTTGTGTATGAAAAACTATACTTAATCTTTAAAAAAAATGTACATTTTGTTAATATTTTTCAGTGTCTGGAACAGATTAATTTTTTTTAACAAGTCGGCCGTCTCCCACTGAGGCAGGGTGACCCAAAAAGAAAGAAAATCCCCAAAAAGAAAATACTTTCATCATCATTCAACACTTTAACTTCACTCACACATAATCACTGTTTTTGCAGAGGTGCTCAGGACACAACAGTTTAGAAGCATATACGTATGAAGATACACAACATATCCCTCCAAACTGCTAATATCCCAAAACCCCTCCTTTAGAGTGCAGGCATTGTACAATGCCTGCAATGCCAGGACTCAAGTCCGGCTATGTAAAAATAACCGGTTTCCCTGAATTTTTTCTTTTTTTTTTTTTCAAGTCGGTCGTCTCCCACCGAGGCAGGGTGACCCAAAAAAAGAAAGAAAATCCCCAAAAAGAAAATACTTTCATCATCATTCAACACTTTCACCACACTCACACATTATCACTGCTTTTGCAGAGGTGCTCAGAATACAACAGCTTAGAAGCATATACGTATAAAGATACACAACATATCCCTCCAAACTGCCAATATCCCAAACCCCTCCTTTAAAGTGCAGGCATTGTATTTCCCAAATTTCCAGGACTCAAGTCCACTATATGAAAATAACCGGGTTCCCTGAATCCCTTCACTAAATATTACCCTGCTCACACCCAACAGATCGTCAGGTCCCAAGTGCCATTCGCCCATTCACTCCTATCTAAACACGCTCACGCACGCTTGCTGGAAGTCCAAGCCCCTTGCCCAAAAAACCCCTCCTTTACCCCCTCTCTCCAATCCTTTTCAAGGACGACCCCTACCCCCGCCTTCCTTCCCCTATAGATTTATATGCTTTCCATGTCATTCTACTTTGATCCATTCTCTCTAAATGACCAAACCACCTCAACAACCCCTTTTCTGCCCTCTGACTAATACTTTTATTAACTCCACACCTTTTCCAAATTTTTCCACACTCCGAATTTTCTGCATAATATTTACACCACACATTGCCCTTAAACAGGACATCTCCACTGCCCTCCAACCGTCCCCCCTCGCTGCCTGCATTTACCACCCAAGCTTCACACCCATATAAGTGTTGGTACTACTATACTTTCATACATTCCCTTCTTTGCCTCCCTAGATAACGTTTTTTGACTCCACATATACCTCAACGCACCACTCACCTTTTTTTCCCTCACAATTCATGATTAACCTCACCCTTTTCATAAATCCATCCGCCGACACGCCAACTCCCAAGAAACTGAAAACATTCACTTCTTCCATACTCCTCCTCCCCAATTTGATATCCAATTTTTCTTTCTAAATCATTTGATACCCTCATCACCTTACCTTTTCTATGTTCACTTTCAACTTTCTACCTTTACACACACACTCAAACTCATCCACTAGCCTTTGCAATTTTTCTTTAGAATTTTCCTTAAGCACAGTATCACACAAAAAGCAACTGGGGTCAATTTCCATTTGTATTTGATTCCCCATAATTTAACCCCACCCCTCTCCTGAACACCCTAGCATTTACTTCTTTTACAACCCCATCTATAAATATATTAAACAACCATGGTGACATTACACATCCCTGTCTAAGACCTACTTTTACCGGGAAGTAGTCTCCCGCTCTTCTACACACCCTAACCTGAGCCTCACTGTCCTCATAAAAACTCTTCACAGCATTTAGTAACTTACCACCTATTCCATATACTTGCAACATCTGCCACATTGCTCCCCTATCCACTCTATCATATTTTTTTTTTTTCAGCAAGTCGGCTGTCTCCCACCGAGGCAGGGTGACTCAAAAAAGAAAGAAAATCCCCAAAAAGAAAATACTCTCATCATCATTCAACATTTTCACCACACTCACACATTTATCACTGTTTTTGCAGAGGTGCTCAGAATACAACAGTTTAGAAGCATATACGTATAAAGATACACAACATATCCCTCCAAACTGCCAATATCCCAAACCCCTCCTTTAACCCTTTGACTGTTTCAGGGCCCTCTCTGAAACTGTCATTCTATGTCGCCTAATATTCGAAAAAAAAAAAATTATTTTTTCTTATGAAAATGTTAGGAATATTTTTACTAGTGTTTTAAGCCTAAAAAAAAATTTTTGCCATCAGTACTTACCGAGATATAGAGCCGCAAAGTTTGCAGAAATTGACGTGCATACGGCAACAGCGGCGACTGCCGCCCACCCGGTATTCTTTTATTTACTCTAATTCAAAGGTTTCTTGCATTTTTCAATATTTTTCTTTCCAGGTAACTTATGTGGCCTGGGAGAACCAATGTAAGGTGCATTGTTCAAATATACACTCATTATTTCCCAACACAATAACAAACAAACTTTATCACTATTATTTGTGTATACACTTTGTTTACACAAACAAACAATACAAAACAATGTTTTTTAAACTATTGTTCCATAATTATATATACATATGTACAGCCCACTAACCACGTTCCTAGAACTGTTTGCAGCTTGTGGAACTCTTTGAAACATGGGTATATGCAGAGGGGCACTTCACACCCTCACACATAAAACGAGTGTCTCTGCGTGTTTGTGGGCGTTTTGTGGTATGCATACATACATAACGCCTCTTCTGAGCATTTTTCCTTGGCAGAAAGTAGGAGGCAGTTGTATGGGTAGTGATCACCAGGCCTCAAACGAGATGACGTCGTGGGCGCTGGTCTATTGCAGAGTTTGCCCCTTTTTGTACTTTGAAAATTATTTGTCTGATTACTGACAGGCAAAATTCACCATATTTTGGTGTTTTGTTGGTTTTCAACTTTAATGTTATAAGCATTTAGCATAGAGAAAATCAACAAGATGGAAAAAAATTTGAATAACCACTTATAACTCTTGGCGTACACAGTCTGCAAACCCAATCTGCATGTCACATTTGTCCACTAAGCGCATATTGAGGTTGTAGTCCATGACAGCTGCAGGCTTTAGAATGGTTCTTTGGGTCTCTCTGTTGTCCCTGCCACTGGGTACCATTTCGTTTGGTGAACTGATGTCAACAATGTGACATCACGTTTGTCATGCCACCGAAATGCCCATAAATGTCATTGGCAGCAAAGGCTTGCCCCCTCACCTCTGCGAGTCCCAGCGTCGAACCTTGGCATATTTTTTGCGATTACCACGCACTGTGCCACACACGTCTGTCAAGTTCACTCGCAAAAAAATCACTGAGTAAGGGGCTTGTGTACCAGTTATCAGAAAAATAACATATGCCCCTTACCAAATATGGTTCCATCATTGTTTCGAACCACATCACCAGAAAATACCCAATAACTTCATGTATCTCTCAAAGTATTACTGCCAGTGTACACAATAATATCTAAAACAAAGACCACTTCTGCAATCACACAGTACAAATAGCTTTATACCAAAGCGTTTCCTCTTGCTTGGTATATATTGCTTGAATGAGAGTCTTCCTTTGAATAAAATCAAGACTCATCAATAACAAGCTTCCTAAAGGGGATAAAAATACATGCAGCATTTTTGTTTCAGTACATAAACACATTTCTTATCTTATAAAAACTTGTCGCTTCTGTCAGGCCTGGTTTTGTCTAAAGTGTAACATACGCAACAGAAATCGGGAAACGTTTGACACCTATAATGTCACTAAAACCTGGAGTTGAAATCAGGCATCTGTTGTCCATATGTGGTGACAGTGTGCTTATACAAAAGTGGCATAAGCATTATTGTGGCAAAAAACGGGTACATCTCTGCCACAGTTGTCTCCTTCCACTTGTGTAGCCGTGATTTTGGTGAGAAAAATTGTATTTGCCATGGGTATTCACAGTAGTGTTGGTTTCCCTGACAATGATGTCCATCAGGGGTTCATCGAAGAATAACTCAAAGCAGTCCAGTTCACTGGAAATTGTTCCCAATTGGACAAAAATGGCTTTATTCCACTTTGTGTTTCATCAAAGTCATGGGGACTGGGAACAAACTCGTCACCGTCCGCCAATCCCAGATGCGGTCTGCTGGTGGGTCTGGATATTGAAACCGTGGTTTGGCTGTGGTTGGGGCTGTGCATGTTGTGGTGGGGCAGGTTGTGGCAGTGTGGGGTAGGGTGAGGCTGGTTGTTCTGCTGAGTCAGCCGCGTGGCTAGTAGCGTGGCCCGGTGATGGGGCCACATGGGCCGTGCCACCCTCACTATCACCACCACTGCCTCCTCCCTCACTGTCACCAATTCATACCCATCGTTACAATATCGTCATCTTCACTATCAGGTCGTGGTGTTGGGCCACGGGATGTGCTCCCAGAGTTTCTCCTTCCCCTTGGAACAACATAAGAAACACTACCAGACCGCATGCTACGTCGTACATACTGGCGCTTCACTGGGGAATATTCACTCTCACTGTCACTAGAACTGCTTTCAATGACTTTGAAATCACTATCACTATCACTGCTATCATCAGGGTGTTGTACACGACCAAATAGTTTCCTCTTTCGTCCTGGTACAGGCGAACGTGAACGTGAAACAAGCCGGCACAGCACCAGAGGTCGAAGGTTTGTGGGTCATCTGGGTTTTCGTCACTATTTACGTTATCCTGGGCACTTTTTTTCGGTAACACTCACTTGAAAACCCTTGAATTCACTGTCACTGACACTTTCATCGCTGTTAGAGCTATCACTTGGGAACAAAAGACCTCCAATCCCCGAGGAGTGAGGAACTTCTTACCGAGAGGCATGGTGAAAATGGACTGACAACATGGCGTTCCCACAATGCACCGCTAGGTCCCAGATTTTTTTCACAGGGTGCACACCGACCACTGAGACCCATTCTCTCCCGTGTAGGCCTATCAGGCCTTTGGCGCTCGATTTGAAGCCGCTAGAATTTGTGCGTATAAATACGTCAGAAACATTGGCTCGTAAGACGTATTTATACGTCGGAAACAGTCAAAGGGTTAAAGTGCAGGCATTGTACTTCCGGTTTCCCTGAATCCCTTCACTAAATATTACCCTGCACACACTCCAACAGATCGTCAGGTCCCAAGTACCATTCGTCTCCATTCACTCCTATCTAACACGCTCACGCACGCTTGCTGGAAGTCCAAGCCCCTCGCCCACAAAACCTCCTTTACCCCCTCTCTCCAACCCTTTCGAGGACATCCCCTACCCCGCCTTCCTTCCCCTATAGATTTATATGCTTTCCATGTCATTCTACTTTGATCCATTCTCTCTAAATGACCAAACCACCTCAACAACCCTTCTTCTGCCTTCTGACTAATACTTTTATTAATTCCACACCTTCTATAAATATATTAAACAACCATGGTGACATTACACATCCCTGTCTAAGACCTACTTTTACCTGGAAGTCTCCCTCTCTTCTACACACCCTAACCTGAGCCTCACTATCCTCATAAAAGCTCTTTACAGCATTTAGTAATTTACCACCTATTCCATATACTTGCAACATCTGCCACATTGCTCCCCTATCCACTCTATCATATGCCTTTTCTAAATCCATAAATGCAATAAAAACTTCCCTACCTTTATCTAAATACTGTTCACATATATGCTTCAATGTAAACACTTGATCTATACATCCCCTACCCACTCTGAAACCTCCTTGCTCATCTGCAAGGAATGTTGCAGTTTGACTGGTCAGTTGAACAGTGATGTCTGTACACTTCTTGAAAGACAGCTGTTGAATGAGTGATGGTGAATGTGTGGTTTTTTTTTTAGCCCTCCTAATTGGAGGATGATAGCCATTGGTATAACAATATTATTTTAAAAATTGTGATATTAAAAATATCTTTTTGTCCTTTGTCTCACTCTGAACATTGATCAACAGGTGAAGCATGGAAAGGATGCCTTCCTGCTCTTAATTACTGATGGCATAAATTTTGTGCTTCGGTCAGAAGAGGCTTGCAGTGTTATCAACCAAGCTGAGGATCCATATCGAGCTGCACAACTATTAACTGAACAGGTAAGCTTTTGTTGACATAGCAAAATATGTGGAATGTAATACATAAAATGTACATGTATAAAGCCTTTGTTTAACTTTTTTCTATAATGTATAATTATCTTGTATGAATGCAAATTTACTAAGTAGTAGGTTGGTAGACAGCAACCACCCAGGGAGGTACTACCGTCCTGCCAAGTGAGTGTAAAACAAAAGTCTGTAATTGTTTTACATGATGGTAGGAGTGCTGGTGTCTTTTTTCTGTCTCATAAATATGCAAGATTTCAGGTATGTCTTGCTACATCTTACACTTAGGTCACACTACACATACATGTACAAGCATATATATATATATATATGCACACACCCCTCTGGGTTTTCTTCTATTTTCTTACTAGTTCTTGTTCTTGTTTATTTCCAGTTCTCTCCATGGGGAAGTGGAACAGAATTCTTCCTCTGTAAGCCATGCTTGTTGTAAAAGGTGACTAAAATGCCGGGAGCAAGGGGCTAGTAACCCCTTCTCCTGTATATATTACTAAATGTAAAAGGAGAAGCTTTCGTTTTTCCTTTTGGGCCACCCCGCCTCGGTGGGATACAGCCGGTATGTTGAAAGAAGAAGAATGCAAATTTACTAAGTAGTAGGTTGGTAGACAGCAACCACCCAGGGAGGTACTGCTGTTCTGCCAAGTGAGTGTAAAACGAAAGTCTGTAATTGTTTTACATGTTAGTAGGAGTGCTGGTGTCTTTTTTCTGTCTCATACACATGCAAGATTTCAGATACGTCTTGCTATTTCTACTTACACTTAGGCCACACTACACATACATGTACAAGCATATATTCACACACCCCTCTGGGTTTTCTTCTATTTTCTTACTAGTTCTTGTTTATTTCCTCTTATCTCCATGGGGAAGTGGAACAGAATTCTTCCTCCATAAGCCACGTGTGTCGTAAGAGGTGACTAACATGCCGGGAACAAAGGGCTAGTAACCCCTTCTTCTGTATCTATTACTAAATTTAAAAGCAGACACTTTCATTTTTCCTTTTGGGCCACCCCGCCTTGGTGGGATACGGCCAATTTGTTGAAAGAAGAGGAAGAAGAATGCACATTTATTATTTATCTAATAGCATATATGTAAAAGTCTTTTGTAGTTAAGAAATAGAAAATGTATTGGTATAAAATTTGTAAAGAAAACCTCTTACCTGAGATGATTCTTACTACTACAGTAGTTGCTAGCTGTTGTACTGACTGACGTGAAATAACTGTAATATCCTTTTACAATTCTTTCATGGTGTCTGCTTTTATTATACTTCTTCACCCTATTCCACTTTTTTCCTCTCACGTAAAAAAAAAAAATTCTAACATTGCTATAGATTATTTAGGTGTGGAATTTCCAACTGTGCCCTCATGTAAAGGTCTTTTCCTTGTTTGCCCAGTCTGTGCCCCAGAGTATTTTGTATGTTGTAATCTTATCTCTTCTTGCTCTTTGTTCTTCAATTGATTCAAGAACTCATTATTTATTTAAAAGAAAAGATGTAAATAGTGTTTGGGAAATTTAATTTGAGATTTAACCCTTTCAGGGTTTCGGCCGTACTAGTACGGCTTACACGCCAGGGTTTTTGACGTTTTTGGATTAAAATAGTGACCTTGCACTGTATTTTCGTATGATATTTATTGTTGTATTCTAGTTTTCCTGGTCTCATTTTATAGAATGGAAGACATATTACAGAAATTGAGATGATTTTGACTGGTTTTACAAAGAAAAGTACCTTGAAATTGAGCTCAAAGTAGCAGAAATATTCGATTTTTACCAAAGTTCAAAAGTAAACAAATCATGCTATGTGTCCAGTACACATCAACTCAACTGGTGAATCTAATATTCTTTCACAAGTGCGCTGATATTATTTATACCATTTCTACACCAATGCAGTAGTCTACATAACAGTAAATCTTCTATTTTTTTGTGAGAATAAAAATTCAAAATGGAAAGCAAAAGAATGTAAGAGGGGCATGGGGATGTGACTAATGAACAGAGGAAATGTTATTTTAGTGCCAGGAATGTCTTTCTTGTTTATTCTGGACCCTATTTGGAAATTGGCATCTTTTGAAATTTGTGTGAAATTGGCAAAATTGCTAAATTCTGACCACTGTATTGGATAGTTGAAATTGGTAAATGGGTGGTTTCTTGTACTCATTCGATAGAAAAAATGGAGTTCTAGCAAAGTAGTTATGAGTTTTGTCGACAAGTACACTGGAATTGGCCAAAAAGAGGGCTCAAAGTGGGCAAAATCGCCGATGCGTCAACATCGTCGAGACCGCTAACTTCGTGAGAGCATAATTCCGTAAGTTTTCCATCAAATTTTTATACTTTTGGTGTCATTATGATCGGGAAAAGATTCTCTATCTTTTCATAAGATTTTTTTTTTTTTTTTTTTTTTTTTTTTTTTTTTTTTTTTTTTTTTTTTTTTTTTTTTTTTTAAATTTGGCCAATCCTGAGAACAAGTCTCTGAGAGGGCCTGTCGACCCTGAAAGGGTTAAGGACAAATAAAAAAAGCTTGTGCATTTTGTGATTATAGTATTGTGTGATATAGTTATATGAACAACTGTGCATCTTGCAAGGAAGTATTAATGGCTCATTATTCTCAAAAATACTCTTATTATAAATATAAATTACCAGGATTATTAACTGATGATTACTTGTTATATTTTTTAGGCACTCAGCATGTCATCTGAAGACAACATGACTGCTCTGGTTGTGCCCTTTGGGTCATGGGGAAAGTATACTAAGTCAGCTTCTATGTTCTATTCCTTTGGTATTGGAAGAGATATGAACAAAAGTAGTAGATTTGGGTAAGCATGATTAAAGCTACTTCTAGGAGCCTATTTTTCAGTAATACAATCAAACCTTGAAAATCTAGAGTCATTCACTGTCAGTTTAATTCCTGTTTTCCAGTTAAAATGAGGAGTGACAGTAACATTGCTATATATAATTCATACAACCAGTTTATCAGTATGACTACAGTATATATAACTTTAAAAGCCATATTGTACAGCACTGGGCTCCAGGAGTAGAAAAACTCTCAGAACTCATCAAAGGCTTGAGGTTTGATCCATTCACAAGAAGCATAGAATAATACATATGGCCATCTAATACTCTGTAATTACAGCATAACATGCAAAATTTAGTGTGAATGATGGTGAAAGTTTTTCTTTTTCTGGTCACCCTGCCTCAGTGAGAGAATCAGCTTGTTAAAAAAAAATGAAAAATTATCAGACTGACTCCAACTCTTTTTCAAGAGTGAGCTCTTAGGGATTCAGCAGACTGACTGTTTTTACTTACTTCAAGCAAGCACAGCATTGGAGGATCAGCCTAAGCAACAAACTGCTTTATGTTACTGCAAACACTTGAGTTGGATTGGCAGCCAAAACAACAGCAGCAGCAATTTAATGCTTTCTGAATTTAGCACAGTTATAATTATGCAGAAGTGTCAAATTATAGTGCTAAGTAATGATACTGTAATGGCATAAACATTGTGAATTTTAGGCATCTGCATAGTTTTGGCATGCTGGGAACCACCAAGAATTTAATTATTCACAGAACAGGTGGGGTATAAACCCATGGCAAACCAGTTTTAAAACTGTCAAGTCAGTACATTATATACTGTACCATGCCAGCTTAATAAAATTTGCATAGCAAGGTGTATACACAGGAAAGTTAGCATGGTCCCCACTGTGACTGCTATAATGACTCACAAGTCATAATTACATGAGTGCAAACACTCATGTAATTATGACTTGCTCTTGCTCTTGCACACTCACTTCCCTCTCTCTCCCTACATCTTCATTTTTGTGAAATTCTTGTGAGAGAGTCAACATCATGTTTTCATAAATATTCAGCATTTGTTTTTAATAATAATATAATAAATTCACTACTTGAGACTCCCATTAAACAGATGCTTGGTTTACCGGGCATGGAACTAAGCACTATGTTTGGGACCTTTTGGTGGTAATATGTGAAACTAATTCTCAGAAACCTCAAATGAACTGAGGTCAGATTGAAAGTTGGTTGGCCAGTAGAATGGTCCCATTAATAACAAGTTACTGCAGTGAAAGACTGAAGTTTTGGTATTAGACCATAATGGTGAGTTTTGGGAACCTCTGTTAATTGTTCATACAGAATGCAGTTTTGTGTGTATATGTACAGTTGTGGATTTGTCAAACAAATTTGTTTGTGTTCAATATATTTTCCCTTTAAATTGAAACTGTAAATTTTTTAGCAACTTGAAAATTAAAACTTGACAGTTCTAATTAAATAACTTGTTTATTAATTGTGGTATCTCTAATATTTATGGTTAAGTACATCATGATAAATATATTACATGACTGAGCTGCTGTAACCAATGCCATGTGGTAAAAAATTTCTCTGTGTATAGTTAGAGCTGAGAGATACCTGAGGCTGGATTTGACAAATGCATTAGCAACTACGTAGAGGAATGTTTAGCACTTATAGTCAGGGCTTTTGAAGGTACCCACTTTTGTATAAAACAATTAATATTATGAAATTACTGGTTTATATATTTGTGTACAATAACATTGATACTTAATAGACTTTAATATGGAGTACTGTACAGTATACAAGATATCAGCACACAGTCTGTGAACCTGCCTTTCCACCATATGAAAATTACAATTAAAAGGTACATAGTGAGCCAGCCAGTCAAATGTTTTTCTAAAGTTTTCTAATCTGATTTGCATCATTCTGTGGTTCCAACCAGCCGCATGACAGTTTGCTTGGCTTATTTAGGTTATGAATTACAGATAGCGAATTTTAGAGATGTTTCACTTTTTGCTTTAGAAACTGAGGGCGAGTTTATTATGCAGGTATTGGTTAATTTAAACTGAGACTTGCTACAGTATATTTTAATAATAAAAAATCATGGATGTATATTCAACTTCAATTTTCAATTGGATGTTGAAATAAATAGGATTTTTGTTCAGTGATTTAGGTTTCACTGTAACTGCAGACAGATTAATAAATATTGATATACATTTCTGTTTTCTAAGTATTTTTCCTCTTGTAGAACTTGATGCCACAGGTTGCAAAGCTTATTCACATTTTAGTCTAAACTTTATTTCCCTGCATTCCTCAGTTATACAAAAAGTATTAGAGACTAAAGCAGCTATGCCAACTAGATGACAGTTCATTCCAAAGATCTTTAAAGTAAGCTAATTTGGTCCTCAGTACTACTCTTAGCTGCTAGATTTTTCTTTTGCACCTCATTACTGTGATCTGTCTCATGCTTAGGAGACAGGATCAAGCCTCCCCTGGTTTAGTACATTGCATTTCAATATATTTGGTTGTGTCCTAGGTAGGTTGGTAGACAGCAGCTGCCCAGGGAGGTACTACCATCCTGCCAAGTGAGTGAAAAATGGAAGCATGTAATTGTTTTACATGATGATGGGATTGCTGGTGTCTTTTTTTCTGTCTCAAAACATGCAAGATTTCAGGCACGTCTTGCTACTTCTACTTACATTTAGTCACACTACACATGCATGTACAAGCATATATATACACCCCTTCTGAGTTTTCTTCTTTCTTACTAGTTCTTGTTCTTGTTTATTTCCTCTTATCTCCATGGGGAAGTTGAACAGTATTCTTCCTCTGTAAGCCATGTGTGTCGTAAGAGGTGACTAACATGGCGAGAGCAAGGGGCTAGTAACCCCTTCTTCTGTATGCATTACTAAAGTTAAAAGGAGACTTTCATTTTTCCTTTTGGGCCACCCTGCCTCAGTAGGATACAGCAGGTTTGTTAAAAGAAAGAAGGCATGTTATGTATTGACCTACAGCTGTTTAAGCCAGTGGGGTAATAACTTTAATGGCTTGTTGTAACCCTGGCAGGTTGTATATATGGCAATGATTGGGTTTGAAGATATATTAAAACTAGTGTTAATGTAATTGGTTATACTACACGTACATTATTATTATTATTATACTCATGGGGGAGTGCTAAACCCATAGGATTATACAGCACCTGTGGGGGGGGGGGATGGAAGGTATTCAGGCTCAATTCAAGGAACTGGAACACAGATCCAATTCCTTTGATCAAGAGCCCCTCACCAGCATCAAGGAACCTCCCTTGAGGGGACTACATGTACAGATTTCTTGACTAGGAGTAAGAATATTTGAATGTTATTAGTGCATTTTTTAGCAGTTTTATACTAGTTTTCATCAGAAGTGGATGGAGCTAAATATAACGAGTCAAGAGTTCATTACTTGCCAGTAGAATAATTTTTGACGCTGGCTGAGCATTTTTTATATTATTTTATTAACACACTGGCCGATTCCCACCAAGGCAGGGTGGCCCGAAAAAGAAAAACTTTCATCATCATTCACTCCATCACTGTCTTGCCAGAGGGGTGCTTTACACTACAGTTTATAAAACTGCAACATTAACACCTCTCCTTCAGAGTGCAGACACTGTACTTCCCATCTCCAGGACTCAAGTCCGGCCTGCCGGTTTTCCTGAATTCCTTCATAAATATTACTTTGCTCACACTCCAACAGCACGTCAAGTATTAAAAACCATTTGTCTCCATTCACTCCTATCAAACACACGCATGCTTCCTGGAAACCCAAGCCCCTCGCACTCAAAACTTCCTTTACCCCCCCCCCCCTCCAACCTTTCCTAGGTAGACCCCTACCCCGCCTTCCTTCCGCTACAGATTGATACACTCTTGAAGTAATTCTGTTTTGTTCCATTCTCTCTACATGTCCGAACCACCTCAACAACCCTTCCTCAGCCCTTTGGACAACAGTTTTGGCAATCCCGCACCTCCTCCTAACTTCCAAACTACGAATTCTCTGCATTATATTCACACCACACATTGCCCTCAGACATGACATCTCCACTGCCTCCAGCCTCCTCCTTGCTGCAACATTCATCACCCATGCTTCACACCCATATAAGAGCATTGGTAAAACTATACTCTCATACATTCCCCTCTTTGCTTCCAAGGACAAAGTTCTTTGTCTCCACAGACTCCTAAGTGCACCGCTCACCCTTTTCCCCTCATCAATTCTATGATTCACCTCGTCTTTCATAGACCCATCTGCTGACACGTCCACTCCCAAATATCGGAATACATTCACCTCCTCCATACTCTCTCCCTCCAATCTGATATCCAATCTTTCATCACCTAATCTTTTTGTTATCCTCATAACCTTACTCTTTCCTGTATTCACTTTTAATTTTTTTCTTTTACACACCCTACCAAATTCATCCACCAACCTCTGCAACTTCTCTTCAGAATCTCCCAAGAGCACAGTGTCATCAGCGAAAAGCAACTGTGACAACTCCCACTTTGTGTGATTCTTTATCTTTTAACTCCACGCCTCTTGCCAAGACCCTTGCATTTACTTCTCTTGCAACCCCATCTATAAATATATTGAACAACCACAGTGACATCACATATCCTTGTCTAAGGCCTACTTTTACTGGGAAATAATCTCCCTCTTTCCTACATACTCTAACTTGAGCCTCACTATCCTCGTAAAAACTCTTCACTGCTTTCAGTAACCTACCTCCTATACCATACACCTGCAACATCTACCACATTGCCCCCCTATCCACCCTGTCATATGCCTTTTCCAAATCCATAAATGCCACAAAAACCTCTTTAGCCTTTTCTTATTTTCAACAATATTTGTTGACAACATCTCACCCACTCTCTCATTTACTCCCTCTTTACATTGCTTCACCACTCTCTTAACCTCTCTCTTTTTCTCCATATACTCTTTCTTCCTTGCATCACTTCTACTTTGTAAAAACTTCTCATATGCTAACTTTTTCTCCCCTACTACTCTCTTTGCATCATCATTCCACCAATCGCTCCTCTTCCCTCCCGCACCCACTTTCCTAACCACAAACTTCTGCTGAACACTCTAACACTACTAACACTACATTTTTAAACCTATCCCATACATCTTTGACCCCATTACCTATGCTCTCATTAGCCCATCTATCCTCCAATAGCTGTTTATATCTTACCCTAACTGCCTCCTCTTTTAGTTTATAAACCTTCACCTCTCTCTTCCCTGATGCTTCTATTCTCCTTGTATCCCATCTACCTTGTACTCTCAGTGTAGCTACAACTAAAAAAGTGATCTGATATATCTGTGGCCCCTCTATAAACATGGACATCCCAAAGTCTACTCAACAGTCTTTTATCTACCAATACATAATCCAACAAACTACTGTCATTTCGCCCTACATCATATCTTGTATACTTATTTATCCTCTTTTTCTTAAAGTAATTTCATGCACTGGTCAGGGAGGTATACCATCTTTTAGGAGTGAAGAAGAGCAGAATGTAAGTGTAGGGGGAGGTACGTGAGGCATTACGTAGAATGAAAGGGGGTAAAGCAGCTGGAACTGATGGGATCATGACAGAAATGTTAAAAGCAGGGGAGGGATATAGTGTTGGAGTGGTTGGTACTTTTGTTTAATAAATGTATGAAAGAGGGGAAGGTACCTAGGGATTGGCGGAGAGCATGTATAGTCCCTTTATATAAAGGGAAAGTATACCAGGAAAAGTGTACGGTAGGGTTATAATTGAAAGAATTAGAGGTAAGACAGAATGTAGGATTGCGGATGAGCAAGGAGGTTTCAGAGTGCGTAGGGGATGTATAGATCAAGTGTTTACATTGAAGCATATATGTGAACAGTATTTAGATAAAGGTAGGGAAGTTTTTATTGTATTTATGGATTTAGAAAAGGCATATGATAGAGTGGATAGAGGAGCAATGTGGCAGATGTTGCAAGTATATGGAATAGGTGGTAAGTTATTAAATGCTGTAAAGAGTTTTTATGAGGATAGTGAGGCTCAGGTTAGGGTGTGTAGAAGAGAGGGAGACTACTTTCCGGTAAAAGTAGGTCTTAGACAGGGATGTGTAATATCACCATGGTTGTTTAATATATTTATAGATGGGTTGTAAAGGAAGTAAATGCTAGGGTGTTCGGGAGAGGGTGGGATTAAATTTTGGGGAATCAAATTCAAAATGGGAATTGACACAGTTACTTTTTGCTGATGATACTGTGCTTATGGGAGATTCTAAAGAAAAATTGCAAAGGTTAGTGGATGAGTTTGGGAATGTGTGTAAAGGTAGAAAGTTGAAAATGAACATAGAAAAGAGTAAGGTGATGAGGGTATCAAATGATTTAGATAAAGAAAAATTGGATATCAAATTGGGGAGGAGGAGTATGGAAGAAGTGAATGTTTTCAGATACTTGGGAGTTGACGTGTCGGCGGATGGATTTATGAAGGATGAGGTTAATCATAGAATTGATGAGGGAAAAAAGGTGAGTGGTGTGTTGAGGTATATGTGGAGTCAAAAAACGTTATCTAGGGAGGCAAAGAAGGGAATGTATGAAAGTATAGTAGTACCAACACTTATATGGGTGTGAAGCTTGGGTGGTAAATGCAGCAGCGAGGAGACGGTTGGAGGCAGTGGAGATGTCCTGTTTAAGGGCAATGTGTAGTGTAAATATTATGCAGAAAATTCGGAGTGTGGAAATTAGGAAAAGGTGTGGAGTTAATAAAAGTATTAGTCAGAGGGCAGAAGAGGGGTTGTTGAGGTGGTTTGGTCATTTAGAGAGAATGGATCAAAGTAGAATGACATGGAAAGCATATAAATCTATGGGGGAAGGAAGGCGGGGTAGGGGTTGTCCTCGAAAGGGTTGGAGAGGGGGTAAAGGAGGTTTTGTGGGCAAGGGGCTTGGACTTCCAGCAAGCGTGCATGAGCATGTTAGATAGGAGTGAATGGAGATGAATGGTACTTGGGACCTGACGATCTGTTGGAGTGTGAGCAGGGTAATATTTAGTGAAGGGATTCAGGGAAACCGGTTATTTTCATAGAGTCGGACTTGAGTCCTGGAAATGGGAAGTACAGTGCCTGCACTTTAAGGGAGGGGTTTGGTATATTGGCAGTTTGGAGGGATATGTTGTGTATCTTTATATGTGTATGCTTCTAAACTGTTGTATTCTGAGCA